GGATGAAAGATGAAACGTTTCTACTTCTTTTTTGTTTGTTTGTTTTGTTTTGTTTTTTGAATGTCCAGAGGACCAGACTTAAGTCCTTTTTAGATTTTTCTACCTGGATTATTGAGCATGCATCAGGATATTTCATCAGATCAACATTTTTTGAAGATCTAACCAAAACCTAGACATTCAGAAAGTTTTTGTACAAGTTTGATTTACAAAAAGAGCATGCAGTTATTACTGGCTTTTGGTTGTGCATATACCCATAAAAAGGTCAAATTATTGTTTTTAAATTGTAGCAATTCAATTCAGTTTATTTATATAGCGCCAATTCACAACAAAGTTGTCTCAGGGCACTTTACAGAAACATTCACATACATAAAAGCCAATTAGTAAAGTTCTCTATCTAAGGAATAAATATCAAAGATCACAGAACCGAAGGTTTTGCAGTAACTTTGATTGGCCACAAGATGTCAGTATTAACGAAACAACTTGTTCCCTGAAGACAACAGTTAGTAAGTCAAGTCCAATTTTTTTTATAAAGCACAATTAAAAACAGCAGCTGTTGTCAAAGTGCTAAACAATAAAGATCAATGGCAGTAATTTAAAGAAAAAACAATATATAATTAAAAGTATCAAAAGAAAAATATAAAAACACAAAACAATGAAACGCTAAATTACTGTGTTAAACGTCAGTGAAAACAGATGAGTATTTAAAAGAGATTTAAAAACAGGAAGTGACGTCGCTGTTTAATGTTGGGGGCAGATTGTTCCATAGTTTAGGGCCCACGACTGAAAAAGCCTGATCTCCTCTGAACTTCAAACAAAAGCTGCTGGTCAGATGATCTCAGAGCCCGGGAAGGAACATATGGTTGAAGTAGGTCAAAGAGGAGGGTGCAAGGCCATTAATGCACTTAAAGGTCAACAGGAGAATTTAAAAATATAGTCTGATACGTACAGAGAGCCAGTGAAGGGAGGATAAAACTGGTGAAATATGATCAAACCTACAAGTTCCTGTTAAGATCCGAGCTGCAGCATTATGGACGAGCTGGAGACGTGAAGTGGAGACCTGACTGACCCCAACATAGAGTGCATTAGTATCAAGAAGGTCATCATGTTGTTATCCAAGATAATAAGACAGAGGAAAGCCAAGCATTCCTTGAAGGAGTTTCTTAAAGGAATGCATATCACCCACCACCTTTTAGTTTTAGACTGAGATCATCCTGTGTTGAGAATTGATACAGTTGTTTGGTGAAACCTTATGTTTTGCATTATCTCTTGTCCATCCATCCATCCATCCATCCATCCATCCATCCATCCATCCATCCATCCATACATACATGCATACATACATACATACATACATACATACATACATACATACATACAT